ATTTGATTGGTCCTTCATGATTTGACATAATCTATTTCCTTCTCCTAAGATTTGATATAATCTCTTTCCTTATCCTAAGATTTGACTTGGTGGGCAAGAAACAATTACTTTTTTAATTAAATATCTTATTTATCTTAGATTTATATCCAAAATAAAATAAAGACATTAATTAATAAAATATTAAAATTTCGATGTCTACAAATGCCCCATTGAGACTTGTTCACAGACAAAATTTCTTGGTAGTGAATGAGTCTCAAAATTTTGAATTTGGTTTGGACATGTAGATAGTTTAAACTCTTATCCAGGAGTTCTTCAAATTAAGTTTGTAGATAGTTTAAACTCATATCAGAGAGTTCTTCATTTGACATGATTTGTAGTTAGTTTAAACTCGTAACAAGGAGTCTTGATTTGATTTGACAGATAGTTTACACTTGTATCAAGGAGTCTTCAAATTCGTTGACATTTTATGCTCGTATCAAGGAGCCTTCAAATTTGTAGACATTTTATGCTCGTGTCAAGGAGCCTTCAAGTTTGATATGTAGACCTTTTATTCTCGTGTCAAGGAGATCTTGATATGAAGACATTTTATGCTCGTGTAAAGGAGCCTTCAAGTTTGACATGTAGACCTTTTATTCTCGTGTCAAAGAGATCTTGATATGATGACATTTTATGGTCGTGTCGAGGAGCCATATAGATAGTTTAGGCTCATATCAAGGAGCATATGTAGATAGTTTAAGCTCATATCAAGGAGCATTTGAATATGTAGATAGTTTAGACTCATACCAAGGAGCATTTAAATTTGTAGATAGTTTAAGCTCATATCAAGGAGCATATGTAGATAATTTAAGCTCATATCAAGGAGCATTTGAATATGTAGATAGTTTAGGCTCATATCAAGGAGCATTTGATTTGGATATTTGGATAGTTTTGGCTCATATCGAGGAGCTTTATAGATAGTTTAGGCTCATATCAAGGAGCATTGGAATATATAGATAGTTTAAGCTCGTATCAAGGAGCATTTGAATATGTAGATAGTTTAGGCTCGTATCATATAGCATTGGAATATGTACATAGTTTAGGCTCATATCAAGGAGCATTTGAATATTTGATGGAGCTCTTTATGTGAATTGCCCTCATGCTTCATAGCTTGGGAAGAGATCATTCTTCATTGCCCCCATGTAAATTTTCTTCAAAGGGTCTTCATACATCTTCAAAGATCATCGAACTTTATTTGAAGAGAAGAGATTAGAGGTAGAAATGGTCCCACCGGGCGTGCCAAATTTGTAACAGCAAATTTTATTGAAGACATAAAACTTTTTGTACAACTTGTATATTTCGATCAAACGATATGGCGGGTACAATCTCTATTTATCTCCTCTGATTCTTCTCTTCATGAATTTAGGATTGAGACCTTCAAAGATGGATTTGACGAATGAATCTCCTTCGGACTTGGTCTTGAATTTCTCTAACATTAATTTGGGGGCTGAATGACTTATTCCCGTATTAAATGTTAGGCTTGACTTGATTGAATATGACTTCTTGGAAGACTTGATTCTTTGATCTTCTTGAAAGAGGGACTCTGACTTGAATAACGTTGATT